CAGCGACAGCTGCAGCAGTGGGAGACAAAGGAGGAGGAGGAGCAAAGGGAGGAAAATACACCGGCCACCCCCATACCCGCCACCCCACAGCTCGCCCCTCAGGTCGCCTCGACGGACGACGGGAAATGGGGGGGAGGGGAGAAAGGGGCCCACCACGGACCTGAGAGAGTCGCAGGTGGGGGCACGGGGCCGGGGCCGCGAGTAGGGCGACGGGGCCGCGCGGGCGGCGACGGGGCCGCGCGGGCGGCGACGGGGCCGCTGCGGCGGCGACGGGCCCGCGCGGGCGGTGAAGGGGCCGCGGCGGGTGGGGACGGGGTCGCTGCGGGCGGCGACGGGGCCGCGCGGGCGGCGACAGGGCCGCTGCGGCGGCGACGGGGCCGCTCGAGTGGCGAAGGGGCCGCGTCCGAAGGTGACGGGGCCGCGGCCGGAGGTGGCGGGGCCGCGAGAGTGGGGCGGCGGGGCCGCGACGGGTCCCCGTCGCCCGTCGCGACGCCTCCAGAGCGGGATGCGGCGAACGCCGCGGCAGAAGCCCGCCGCGCGCCTCGGGGCGCACAGCGGGCAGAGAACCGCCGCACGCCTCGGGGCGCACGGCGGGCAGATTACCGCCGCGCGCCTCGGGGCGCACGGCGGGCAGAAAATCGCCGCGCGCCTCGGGGCGCACGGCGGGAGGAAAAAGTAGCAGCGGAAGCGAGGTGGTAACCCACCCACAGGATCGATCCAAGGGGATCGACCTGCTCTGATAGCATGTCAAAATTAGAAGGAAGAAAGAGGATTGAACTAGCAGAAATGGGGATACAAATAGCAAACCCTAGAAGGGTTGTACTGGCTATAGAGCACCCCACTACAGGCTAAAACATAAGAATAACATTCTGACAGCGAAGGCATGAGCGAAGAATATATAGCGAAACTACAGTGGTAACGGTAATGGTCTGTGGTAGTCGCGCGACGAGCCTGGGACTGAAGTTTGGGAAAGTGTCTAAGCATAGGCCCGGAGCGCGGGTTACCAGCCGAGCCGTGAGGTCGGGATGCGATGTGCGAAAATGGCGGGATGATTATCGATGCGATGGTCGCGAGTGGTAACGGTGCTGACTGAGGTGCTACAGTGATGTACGCGTTGAGCAGGGATGCGAAGTAAGGAAAAGGGATTTTCCTTACAGTTTACGAAGGCGCAAAAATGTTTCGTGTGCGTGTCAGGTTTTTTGTCTACAAGTTTTTTTTTTAACGCGTGTCAAACGCGATGTTCTGAAACATATACGGAGCTCTGAATTTAAGCAGGGGCTGAAAAAAAAAAAAAAAAAAAAAACCCCTAGCGACAGGAACGCAATTTGGGAGGCATCAATCCTAAACACTGGAAGCATGGTGTTTAGGGTTAATGCTTTGGATGTGGTGGAATTCGGGAGGGATCAACCCTAAACACGGGAACTTTCAAGGTGTTTAGGGCTGATGCATTGAAAGTGTGCCTGGCTCCCTACGGAATTTAGTTCGTCTTACACCGTAAAAAAAACCAGACCAAACAAAAACAGCATAAGACAAGCCTTGTCTGCGCGACAAGACTGAAGTGACGTAACACTTCGCAAAATTTGTCTTTGCTGAAGGGATCGAAACCCAAGCTGCAATCCCGCAATTCTGGCCGTAAAACCAAATGGCACCTGTAATGTCGATACGCACTCGTTCGCAGCATGTAAATAACGTGGAAGCGCATGTACCGTATGGCCCCGGATAGAAGCGCAGGCCTATGTTAAGCGCATGCGCTTGTATCTGGAGCAATGCGCTTATGGCCGATCCTCAATTATAAGCGCACCCCTTTGGAATTCTTGACTTATTATAAGCGCACCCTTTTAGATAAAAAAAAAAAGAATTTCATTTTTTTTAACCTACCTAGCCTACATGTTCTAAACTTTCCATTAAGAATGACAATCACATACAAGGGTGGTCTTTGCTGTCCTGCACTACACCTTTCAACCTGCCTAGTCTACCCTACTGCCTTTTCTTCCTCCTCGTCCGACTTAGGCTCCGTGGAGTTGTTGCCCCAGAACCCATCTGCCTGGATGTCGTCGTCCACCTCCACCTCATGGGACAACTGGCACCTTCGGTGCGCCAGCACCAGTTTGTCTTCGCTCCCATCAAGGGCGTTGCTGATGCCGCAAGTGAGGAAGGCTTTCTTGATGAGGTCGGCGGGCACCGCCTTCCAGGCCCGTGAAATCCACTTGAGCACCACCTCCGGAGGTGGTTTCTTGATGTTCCCTGCATCACACGGAGTGGGGCGGGGAAAACATGAGACAAGTAAACATGCATTCAAGCTCAAGATTTGCAGACGGGAGCACATGCCGTCACTCACCTGCCGGGGTCAGGATGTTCATGCCGTCCTCCTCAAACCAATTCTGGTACTGCTGACGAATGCTTGCTTTGAAGCTCTTGTTGATCGACACATCGAGGGGCTGCAGGTCTGCCGTGCAACCCGCCGGAATGATAGCAGGCACGATGTTGAGCGCCGCGAATCTCGCCTTGACTTCTGGTGTCAGGTGACCGCGATACGAGTCGAGCACCAGCATGGCGCTACGACTCTGCAGGCCGAATTTCGGCTTCAGGAACGGCACCACGCCCGTGTTGAGCCACTCGATGACGCCTGCGGCCTCCATCCACCCGTTGGCTTGGCAGCCGACCACAACATCTGCACGCAACGAAAAAGAACGGTTAAGGATTCAGGTAGTAACGGGAATAAACACGGTGGACGATCACTTACCGTTCGGGAAGTCACCCTTGGGGAGTGTCTTGCGCTTGAAAAACACCCACGGCTTCAGCTTCTCGCCCGTCGCCGTGCACGCAAGCATGACGGTCACTCTCTCCTTCTGGTACCCACCGCTGCGAATGGGCACCGACCTCACGCCCGTCTGCTCCACGGTGGTCGTCGCCGGCATCTCTAACCACAGCGGTGTCTGGTCGGCGTTGATGATGTAGCGGTTGTCAATGTCGTATTCGTGCCGGGCGTCACGTACGTACTGCCAAAAATCATTGCACTGCTGAGCCACGTCTGCAGAACAGGGAGAAAGGTACATACAGTAAACCAAATTAGTATGACGCACAGGAGACATGCGAAAAAAACTAAGCGTAATCGGGTACCCACCAAAATCAGCAGTAAACGACCCACTTACGCTCCTGTGTTTTCTGTGCCACCTTTGTTTTCATGCGCACGCTGAGGTTCCACCGCCTGCGGAACCGCTCCGTCCACCGCTGACTGCCTTTCCACTTGACGTCCGGGTATAGAACCTTCATCACTTCTTTGGACCACTCTTGCAGCCGGCCGACCGAAACCGCAACTCCGCGGCGTCGCCAGTCGAGGAGTTGCGCGTACACCTTTAACTCCATGGGGCGGTACCAAGACGACCTCCCGCGCCCGTGAAGTCGCATCCGTGCTCCGTGTGCAGCCTTGAGCGCATCCGCTTGGGTTTTCCATTCTGTCAGACATTTTCGGTGTATGCCTGACTCCCGCGCCACTTCGCTCACCGAAGCCGCAAGCTCGAGCCGCACGAGCCACCTCAACTTCTCCTGGGCGGTGTAGGACTGCCGCTTATGTTGATTCAGCTTGTGCCTGGGGGAGGGGGGGCGGGCATCTCGATTCTCGGTAGACGGGTGGGGGCGTTTTTTATTAAGGGGCGGATATGTCGGTACCGGCATCTTCGCGCGTGGTGCGTCGCGCCACCAGGACTCCACACCGTCCTCGTCCTCGTCACGGTCGGGGAACACGTCTTCCTCGTCGCCCGCTGCACCGTCGCCACCAGCTTCACCGTCGCCTCTAGCTTCGCCGACGCCGCTGTCATGTTTGTCGGTAGCCACATCATCGTCGGCGCCCACAACCGACTCATCCCACGCGCAGGATTCTGGTTGTCCCCACCGTGGTGCAGTCGCTGGAGCTTGGATGCATGCATCGCGGGCCTTGGGTGTGTCCGCTTCAGCCAACCATTCATCGAACGTGGCTGGTAAATACAGTTGGAGCACGGGCCGTTGGTGAGCACCTGCCGCAGCAAAAGCAGGCGGATTCGGAGGAGCGGGAGGTGCGGGAGGAGCGGGTGGAGCAGGGGGTGCAGGGGGAGCAGGAGGAGCAGGGGGTGCAGGGGGATCCGGTGGCACTGGAGGCGCTGGTGGCTCACGGGTATACCACCCGTCTTTGATAAGTCGCCATGTGCGGCGTGGCTTTTTCTTGAAGAGGATGCTCGTCCCACTAAATTCCGCCATGGCTTCGCCTGCCAGGCTGGGTTGACAAGGAACTGAATGAAAAAATCAGAGAAGAGGGTGAAGAAATGGGCAACGACGGTGACCCCTGCTGTGTGACGGCTCGGGTTCCTCGTCGATGACAGGCAGGAAACCCCCGCCCACTCCCGTAGAGGCGCCTGCGTGGCAGCATCTACGCTGCGCTGGCAGGGAATCTTGCCGAACCTTCGAGATGGTTCTGCCCGAATGCACATGCCTCGCAGCGCATGCGGCTCTGATTGGGCCGCACGACAACATCCTCGTCACGGCTGTCACATTCGATGTTTCCAGACAACATTGTGCGGTGGTAAACCGAACCGCTGCGGTTTCTGCCTGAAAACCATGCACGATCCCACTTGGTGCATGGTCGGTTGAATTCGCCTTATTGAGAGCTTCACAATGGTGTGTTCAAAATTGATTTTCATTTTTCCCTTTATACAAGCGCATGCGCTTATAAATCTGACTCAATTATAAGCGCACCCCCCCAAAAAACAATGTTTTATTATAAGCGCAGGTGCGCTTCTATCCGGGGTATTACGGTAGGTCGACCCATTTGGACGAGATTTGGTTGCCCTACCTGCGGTGCGAGGCTGGTCGATGGGATTAAGAGAAGTTGGCGCGCCGGCGCGTCGCGCAATCTCGCCGGTGGACTTGGATGAACGAGTGCTGAAACCTGCGTTACAGACTTACTCCCTGACTTGAAAACCGAACTCTATTTACTGGTGCAATATGAGAAAATATAATATAGTTATCTATTGCCTAGCATCCATTTCATCATGCGCCCACTTCTCAACCACCCCTCTTGGTGTCCAATCGTCCTCTTTAGTCGCCAACTCATTTGCCAATAAAGCTCCTAACAACGCAGCCCTCAGTGCCTCGTCCCTATGCCGACCCACCATCGACCACACATGCCGAACCTGACGACCCTCCGGACCAGTGAGCTCCAGGTACGGCACGACCACCAGGTGCTTTGCAAAGAGTGGTGCAATGCGGTTGAGGCGGTTTTGCTCCCACGTGGCTTCCTGTAAATGGCGGTTAGAAGGTTCCTCGTTATACCAAGTGTCCAAAAACTGAGGGCAGGGGAAACAGTAAAAAAATGGGGGGTGAGGGGAGGGAGAGGGGGTAGTGAAAGGGAAAGGAAGATTAAGGGAGAATATGTGAAGAGAAATGTGGCAAGGAAAACTATGGATTCATATTGCCAGGTAGCAAGGTGAGAAACAACACTCATTGGGTAGGGTAAGAGCACCAGAGAGTTCTTTTCTGCAAGGGGAGGCAACGAAACGGCATGCATGCTATGCAATCAGGCACGTGACAGGAGCACCTGAAAAGGACCCTGACAGGCACCTGATGGGAGAAGCATACCTGGAGAGAGCGAGGAGGGGGTCGCTCTGGCGACATCATCTCCCCACCCACGTGTTTGAAGCAGTGTTTTGAGGCGTCTCACAACACTACTTCAAACATGCGATCAATCCTAGAGAAGCGTTGTGCAGAGTGGAATGGGTTGGTGTATGTTTTGCTCCTAAGAAACAATACTGGGCACCAGTCGATCACCTTGAAAGTGAGGGGCGAGCGTCTCAGCAGCATAACCCCCGCATTGATTGACTCCAACGATGCTTTGAACAGAGCACCCGGGAAGCATCACTGGGGAGCCTTGAACAACTATATGAGCATACCAGAGAGTGGGCGGGGCGCTCACCTTGAAGGTAAGGGGCGAGCGTCTCAGCAGCATAACCCCCGCATTGATTGACTCTAAGGAGGCATTGAACAGAGCAGCCGAGGCGCCATTCTCCTCCCCTGAATTCCGGGCGAACAGACCAATCAGCTCCTCCGAGGGTTCCTCTGCACATGGGGCAGCGGGTGATTGGCTGCAGGCTGCCACGTCAGCAGGAGGAGGATCCAGCAGGCCAATGGGGAACTGCGGCATCCACGTCTGATTGGTGAGCTCCATGCCGTAGCGATCCCTTATCCAGTTGAATGCTCCCTGGTGGGGTGCAGGTGGCAGTTGCGGGGAGATGGGAGGGAAAAAGGGAAACAGGCAGGGTAGAGAATCAGGCAAAGAGGCGGGTAGAGAATGAGGCAGAGATAGAGAAGCAGGCAGAGGAGCAGGCAGAGAAACCGGCAGTAAAACGGGCAGAAAAGCAGGCAACAAAGAGGGCAGAGAAGATGGCAGAGAAGATGGCAGAGAAGATGGCAGAAAAGATGGCAGAGAAGATGGCAGAAAAGATGGCAAAGAAATCAGGGACGAGGAAGGCAGCCTCTGGGTTGAGATACCGACCGTGAAGGGCAAGGCAGCGAGCCAGGCTTCAATGGGGCAGGCGGTGGTTGTCCATTCGGAAGTAGGCGTCCGAGTCGAGATAGAAGGCCCAGGCACAGCAGCATGAGAGTCGGTGAGCATTGACGCTGCCAGGGGGATGGGCAGGGTACTGACCGTGAAAGGCAGTCCTGCGAGCCAGGCTTCAATTGGAAGGCGGTGGTTGTCCATTCGGAAATAGGCGTCTGAGTCGAGATAGAAGGCCCAGGCACAGCAGCAGCGCAGCTGATCCCGAATGAACAGCAGCTGGAAGGCCAAGGGGGGGAAAGAAGCGTAAGGAGGAGGGAGGAACGGGAGGCAGAAAGAGGCAACGCTGGTGAGAGGCAAGTGGCACGAGCGTGAGGTTTGAGAAATAGGCGTTGACCCACTCACTCGTGAGGCAACAGCGCAGAGAAATAGGGTCAACGCCTATTTCTCAAACCCTGTGAGTCACGAGTGTGAGGTTTGAGAAATAGGCGTTGACCCAGGCAAAGCAGCAACGCACTTGTTCCTGGAAGAACAGCAACTGAGAGCTTGTGGTTTCACGAGAGGAAAGGGGGCAAAGAGCAGGAAGGAAAGGGGGCGTTGGTGGTTTCACGAGTCGGCTATATTTGAGTCACTTTTGAGCAAAGAGGGGCTAGGTTGAGCGGCGTGGATCGAAACGAGCGACCTAAAAAACAGCCGTGTTTTGAGTCGACTGGAAACATGCATTGAAGAGTAGCGTTTAACGCAAACAAACATTGAAGAGTAGCGTTTAACGCAAACATGCATTGAAGAGTAGCGTTTAACGCAAACATGCATTGAAGAGTAGCGTTTAACGCAAACATGCATTGAAGAGTAGCGTTTAACGCAAACTGCATTGAAGAGTAGCGTTTAACGCAAACATGCATTGAAGAGTAGTGTTTAACGCAAACATGCATTGAAGAGTAGTGTTTAACGCAAACATGCATTGAAGAGTAGTTGTTTAACGCAAACATGCATTGAAGAGTAGTGTTTAACGCAAACATGCATAGGCTCTTCTCTGTACCTTCATGACAGAGAAACAGGCACTCATGCAGAGAAGAGTGATGCAAAGATGAATAAGAGCGAACGCTCAGATACAAAAGAAAAACATCCACCTGCTGCTGCATGCACTCACACAGACAGACCATGAGCCGCAATTTGTAGCGAGTCTCGTGGTGACTTTTGAGTCTCGCAGTGACTTTTGAGTCTCGCGGTGACTTTTGAGTCTCGTGGTGACTTTTGAGTCCACTCAAAAGTCACCTCACACACACCTTGAGCCACGATGGGTGGCGAGTCTCGTTGTATTCCCGTGTGTCCTGATTCACATAGCGGTAGCCATGACGGTTGGCATACAGCCTGGCAGCCATTGAACGGGGCGAAGAGAGGAAGATTGTTGAGACGCCTTTTAGGCCGTCTTGAACCGCTTGTGTGATTTGATTCACATAGAGTAGCCATGACGGCTGGCGTATAGCCTAGCAGCCATAGAAGGAGGGAGAAGGGAGCACGGGGGAAAGAGAGGGAGCGAGGAAGGGGTAAGAAGAGGGGGGGCGGGAGAAAGAGGAGGGACGTGCGGTTGGTGGGAGTGTGGTACACATCGGCGCATGGGGAGGGGTTGGAGAGAGGGGGACTCGCCGACTGATGGCCTTGGGAGGCCATTCAGAACTTTTGAGAATTCTCAAAAGGGAGGCGATTCAGAATGGCATGGTGGACTCGTTCCTTTTAAATGAGACATACTGGATGGGCGCTGGGTGTCTCTAAAAAAAATGGCTAAACCAATTGAAAACACATATCTTAACCCCCCCCCCAACCTCCTCCCTCCCCCTTCCCCCAACCTCCTCCCCCTTCCCGCAATCTCCTCCTCCTCTCCCCCAACCCTCTAAGAGAAAAGAAGCAAAACTGACTGGTTGATAGCCTTGGAGGCCATCCAAAAGGGCAGGGAGCGGCCGTTCCTCTCAAAGTAGTCGTAGCCTGCTGCCTCCACATAGTCCCTCGCCTGCCGGCTGTCGCTCTGCAGTATGCACCCAGGAAGATGCGACCTCCTGTCACCATTGACGTTCCCCACCACAGCACCAGCAGCACTATCCTTGCCACCAGCATGCCTGCCTTTGCCCCTGCCGCTGTTGCTCAACCTGCTGTCACTGTCGCTGCTGCTGCTGCTGCTGCTGCTGCTGCTGCTTTTGCTGGCACTGCTGCCACCAGTGCTGCTGGTACCACCTGCATCTGAATGGCAGTCAGGCGAGAGTAAGCCAGGGGGTGGCTCTGCGATTCAAAGGTGTCAGAAAGAAAACGGAAGGAACATGCGAGATTGCCTTTGAGATGCCCCTAAAATAGCCAGGGTGGAGTTGTACTTTGGTTGGGTCATGGCGAAAGGCGAGAGAGAGGTTAGGATATCTTTTTCTAGAATGTGCAGTGGACAGGGGGGACTGCAATGGGAAAAAAATGGTCATTAAAGGGAGTCATCAGAGTAGCAAATGGTGCATTAAAGAGGAAACCACGGAGAAAGAGAAAGGCAGTTACGATGCACAACTGTAAAAAAAATGGTGGGAAATTTTGCTTTCTACATCGCATATTCATTCATCTGTGATGTGACGCATCCACGCACACGCAAGTGACTTTCTATGACGCATGCCATGCCATACCATACCATACCGGACCATACCATACCATACCATACCATACCATACCATACCATACCATACCATACCATACCATACCATACCATACTATACCATACCATACCATATATTAATCGCTCCACCCTTTCAACAGCTGCTGAAACATGTGAAGCCCGAGCGTCCAGACGGGCTTTCAACAAGGACACTTCCTCCTGCATGCATACAGGTTGGAGAACAAGGGCGCAGAGGGGTACAGGACGGTTCAATGCATGACCAGTGGTTGGATTAATTGTACACGCTGTTGCGCATGAGAGTGGGTTGCTGCGCATGAGAGTGAGCTGCTGCGCATGAGAGTGAGCTGCTGCGCATGCTTAAGGCCTGAGAGTGAGTCATAAGAACTCAAAAGTCTGCGTGCATGTGCTAATGCTGCAATGCAGTTGCCTTCATGGAAACTGCCAGGAGCTAGTGTTGCAGTACAATGGGGTACAATGAGGGACAAGTCACCAGACTGTGAGTGCACAAGGAAACCGTTGGAGAGATTAAAGAGATAGTAATCACACTGTTCTGACATCACATGGGACAAGAAGGAAGAACTGGAATGCGGGGAATCTGTAGCGTGGGAATGGGAGTAGGACATAGAGTGACCGGACGTACGGTTTAGGGATGTGGATTCGAGAGTCAGGCACCGCCAAGAGAAACGAGGGAAAATGTGAAATTCGAGAATAACCGCTTTTCGTTTTTTTTTGGCAAAATTATTACCGCCAGTTGGGAGCGGCGCCGATGCAGCAAGGGAAGGCAAACGGCCAACGCAGCGACGCTTAGAACGGTGAGCGTGAGCGATCGCCATGAAAGCGAGGGCATCAGAAAAATGGGAACGCAGCATTGAGTGGTAAACGCCGACATGCCTGGGATGTATGACGTGCAGATTGTGGTTTCTTCCCACCGCAATAAACGACCAAGGGTATTGCCCAATGTACATCGAAAACAGAGGGAGGTCAAGATCACCGTTAACGCGCGAAAACTGTGCTACAGTGACCTGGCGTGACTTGTCATAAATTTCGATTAGTTGCCCAGTACCCCCAGTTACGACCGAGAAGTATTGAGGCCTAGGTTTACATCAACCGGAATTTACTGTGACATCCCGCGCGTTAACCGTGGTTGGAGTCGATTTACCGTCGAGTCAACAGCAGAGGCGAAAGAACAGGAAAGTGTTGGTTACCAGTGCGTAACACGTAACAATTTCTGTTACTTCTCCTGTATTCAGAAACTTCTTAAATATGATTAAGATGTCTGGATTGTGCCAGCAACCTGGTAACTTGATATGTTACAAAATTCAAAACCAATATCGAATGGAACGTTATATATTGCAATTGTCAATTAAAGAATGATTCCTTTCAATTAAAATAAATAAAATTATAAATTTCTAAAATTAGCTCATAATTAGAAATCAGTACAAATGAGCGGCTAAAAGGCACTACGGGATTTAACCTACACACCTACACACTACCACACCTACACACCAACAGACTACAGAAAAACACGCTCCCATCCTTCAATCAGAATTCGCACCTTCCCAGAACCCAGCACCAAGCCCTTGGGTTCATCATGCTTCAAGAAGGTGGGATTGTTGACCATCGCGGCGTGTAGAGCCGCCACAACAACAGTAGTCTTGGCACGGACCAGGTTACTGTTGGTCAGCGGAACACCACCAAGAGAAGGCTGGCCATTCCCCGGCCTTTAGCTTTCAAGGGGGGCTTCAACCTGCACGGATGCACAAGAAACAGCTGTTAGTGGCTAAGCTTCAGGTAACGTTAAAATACTAAGCAAGAACTTACCACGACACAAAGGTAAGCCACCATGGGAATCTTCACGTAGACCAGAGAGGACGTGACAACAGAGAATGCAGCCAAAGCAGCCTTCTCAAAAGCAATGTTAGCAAAGGGAATTCCTTCGCCATTAACATGCCACGCATATCCAAGTACAGCTGCACAGGAAACAACAAGTAGATTAGTGTACTGTTCAAAAACCATAAATAAAAACACTAATACCGTGCTTCTTACCATGCCTGAATTCTTCCAGCCACTTCTCTTCCGTGCGCTTCTTAGAAGGAATGATCTGCTCCACCGCCAGCAACGGCCACTTGCTCTCATCCACCAACCCACCCGCGCCCCATGCATAGAAACGAACCTTCTTGTGGGTGTTTGAACGTTTCGTTTTGATGACCTTCATCACCAGCTTCTCGAACTCGATTCTGCCGCCAGTCGCGTAGAAATACTCGTCGCGATTCACTCCACACAGCTGGTACTTGGTGATGAGGTGAGGTTGGAAGACTTCGAATGTTGGGAAGAACTCCATGCACTCCACTGGCGCGTCTGTTATCAGCCACGTGAAAGTGTCGAGAGCCTTTACCTGCAGTCGAATAAACGGGTAAACAGCAGAAACATTATTAAAAGCAGATGACCATGGTAGGGCCGTCTAAATACCAGCACACGAATATTTAACACACGGACGGTCAAACAGCGAATGTTCCATAAGAACCAAGACTTACTGCAAACTCCTTCTTTTCGAGGCTTGTCTTCACAATCACGTTGCCATTGTTGTCCCTTGTGAGATTTGCCGGGTTGACAATTGGGCCGTCTGAAGACATCTCCGACACCCCGCCCGCCTGTTGCGCCTCAAGCTCAACCAGTCGGGAACACAGGATTTCGCACTCAGAGTCGGCGCCGGCAAGCTTCTGCTGCGCTTCAACTTGCGAAATCTGCAGGATGTCAACGGTTGCTTTAAGATCTTCAACCTGCGCCTGCAGTGCGCGATTCTGTCTGACCCAGTGCGCATTGACAGCTGCAAATAGGAACCAACGACAAGTTCAGTATGAAATAACAATCAAATAAAAACTTAACATCACAGCTGGAAAAATAGAACAGGTCAAATGTTCCAAGAATACACTCACCTTCCGACCGTGTTCCGCGGACGGCACCGTTTTGTTTGATGCCCAGCTGTTGATGCTGCTGAGCAAGCTGCTGCTGCTGAGCAAGCTGCTGCTGCTGAGCAAGTTGCTGCTGCTGAGCAAGCTGTTGCTGATGCTGTTCGGCACCAGCTTCGTCCTCAGAATCCTCCTCGTCATCCTCTTCCTGCTCCTCGTCCTGCTCCTCGTCCAGCCCCTCGTCCAGCTCCTTGTCGAAGGCGGAGCGGTTATCCGTTGAAAAATCCTCAGCCAGCGCGCCGGTGGTTGCGTCAGCGAGAAACTCAAGGTTGTGCTGCTGCTGCTGCTGGGAAGCAACAGGCTGCTGCTGCTGCTGCTGGGAAAAAACAGGCAGCTGCTGCTGCTGGGAAGCAACAGGCTGCTGCTGCTGCGTTGGGAAAGCAACAGGCTGCTGCTGCTGCGTTGGGAAAGCAACAGGCTGCTGCTGCTGCGTTGGGAAAGCAACAGGCTGCTGCTGCTGCGTTGGGAAAGCAACAGGCTGCTGCTGCTGCGTTGGGAAAGCAACAGGCTGCTGCTGCTGCTGCTGGAAAGCAACAGGCTGCTGCAGCTGCAGGGAAGCAACAGGCTGCTGCTGCTGCTGCTGGGAAGCAACAGGCTGCTGCTGCTGCTGGGCAGCGACACGCTGCTGCTGCTGCTGCTGCTGCTGGGTAGTTGTAAAAAGCTGCTGCTGGCGAGTCGCGGGACGAGGACGGTTCGGGAGAGAGCTCGCGAGAAGCTGCTGCTGAGAACCCGCGGGCAGAGGGTTCAGGTTCGTAACGATCTGCTGCTGCTGCTGGGAACTTGCTGGCAGAGGAAGGTTCGGGAGCCCGTCTGTGACAAGCTCCTCCTCGGTCGACGCGGGAGCAGGTAAGTCAGCTTGACTGCCTGTAGTAGCTCCAGCCTTCCTCCTCCGCTTGCCTTTCTGCCCACCGGACTTAGCGGCGCGGGATTTTTTCTGAGGAACCGGCACACCAGAGAGGGTGTGAACACACTTGGTCTTGCCGACGCTGCTAGCAATCGTCTCACGGTGCTTGAGAGCTTGCTGGTAGAGGGCTTGGTGGTTGTTCACAAGTGCATCTGCTTCAGCTTCAGTCATTTCTGCTGCAAATGGCGATGGAAGCGTGACCCCCTCCAGCTCCTCGCCCACCCCCTGAACCCTTCTGGTTAGCCCATTCCCTGCCCGATAATTTGTTTCTTCTACTTCCTCCATCGTATACGACGATATATCATCGTCTGTGAAGATAACGGCTTCATATACCAGGTGTAATGATACTTCGGAAGAATCAAAACTTGCACGAAAATGTTTTGACCGCCTATTCCTCTTCGGGAGTGAAACGTCAGCAAAAAAATCGGGCAAATATGTTGCGACCTCCGATGATTGGTTGGCTTGCGCGAGGTCGGCTGGCCACGCCGCGTGCGGTGCGAGCATCTTGACAGCCCCACGGTCCGGAGCCGTCAGATGTACATGACGGTGCACGTTTCTGCTCAAATGAATGTACGATTAGATCACAACCGTCAGTGCGAATGCTGTCAGCTGGTTAAAGCTCGCGGCCCAAATTGCACAAGTTTAGTAAGGTCGACCCAGGTGTTTTTCAGGTGGTTTTTGACGGAAGTTCTGTTTTCGGCTTTGGAGTTTGGTTTCACACACCCCTCCCCGTCAGGATTACTAAGGTTGCCACGCGCGCCCCGCAATTTGGGCCGCGAGCTTTAAGTCGAGACCGTCAGACGAGCACGACAGCAGAAATGTGGCTCTCGATCAATCCACACCGTCAATATGGAATCTTCACTTATACAGCACGAGAGGTAATTGGAAGTTTCGAGAGAGGGGCACCACAGCTCAGCACGGAAATGAACCACGCAACCAGGCAACCAGGTTCATTGCACAGGACTTAGCCACCTATGCAAAGCCACGCGGCAACTACCCCGCCTGTGACACCCCTCACCCTATCCAGCACAGAGGCAGCTCTATGAACGTGGCTGGATAATGATACGTTGGTTCACCTCTGCGGTTTCCTATTAGCCAATACATCTCACTTTTGGGAGACGGTAGCGGACGGTAGCGCCCGGTAGCGCTACCGTCCGCGTCAGCAAGCTGCCCGCGGGCAAAACAAATAAACTAGGGTTCCGGATGGCATGCCATTCGGGAGCCTCAACCCTAAAATTTTAGGGTTGAGGCTCCCTCGGATGGCATGCCATACGGATGGGTTTTAGTTTTTTTCTTGCCCGCGGTCAGCTTGCTGACTCGATTGCACTGCCAGCTTCGCTGGCAGTGCAATATATATTCCACTATAGGGTGTGTCTCGCGCACTGTTGGCAGTCGTGACGTGGCCAGGGAATGGAGTTTCCAACATAGTTATGCTATGTAATTTCCCAACCGGCGCAATGTACACTCGGTAACCTTTCGCACGAATAACCAGGTTGTACTATACTTATTAACATTATTGCCCAGCCCAAACATGATATCTTTATTCTTTTGTTGCACTTTAAGTGTGTTTTTTCAAACTTTTTAAGCAGGTAGTTAATGAACTAACCTTTTAAATTGTACGTGATCCATGTATGCCTAAATATTGGTGTTGTGAAAGTGAGGAACAGGAATGATCAACTATGAAATGAAAACAGTACAAGTACCAACCCTAATTGGGTTGTACCCCTTATGTGCTACCCCACTACAGCCTACAACATGTATAAGCTATAGTAATCTGACACACCCCCATAGGCAAAGTGGGGGAGAACAAGGGGTCACAAGACCAGTCAAGCAAAGCAAAGCAAAGCTCAGGGTGGATCACAAAGTCACCACGCATTCCGAGCACAAGTTCAAAGGCCAGACGGCCAGTTCACATGCAAGATCATATATAGAGATATACAAGAGTCAAGCAAGCAAGAGCAAGAGTATATATAGGCGAAGGTACAAGCAAGGTCAAGAGGAGAGCAAGTGAGGCAAGACAGGCACAAGACCCAACTGCGTGCAACAACGCTGATGATCACAAGGAGCAAGTGCCTTGGTGAAGACATCAGCAGTGTTGGCCTCAGAGGCCACGTACGCAAGTCGCAACTGTCCACGCTGCTGTAGCTCACGAGCAAGAAAGTAGCGGAGAGCAATGTGCTTCGTTCTGTGCTCCAGTCGCTGCTCTCGACACAAGGCCAGCATGGCCTTGTTGTCTACGTACAGGACTGGAGGAGAACGAGGCTGCTCTCCAAGGTCGGTCAACAGGTAGGTGAGCCAGCGTAACTCCTGCGCAGCCATAGCCCCAGCGTAGATCTCAGCCTCACAACTGGAGCCGAGAACAGAAGACGAGCGGGTAGCCCGCCACGAGACAGAGCCGGAACCAAGGCTGAAGGTGTAACCCTGTGACGACCGCTGCGTAGCCTGGTCGTCAGCCCAAGAAGCGTCTACGTGCCCAGTGAGGACCACTGGACTGCGCCCTCCAAGCACTAGCCCCATGCCCGACGTACTACACAAGTAACGCAACACCCTCTTCACTGCAGCCATGTGCTCTGGTCGGTGTCTCCCAGGAGCAACAAAGCGTGCGAGAATGCTAAGAGGGTATGCGAGGTCAGGTCGTGTGCAGGTCATCAGGTACATGAGGCAGCCAACAAGCTCTGGGTACGGGCCACTCGACTCTACGGACTCATCCGAAGGCAGAGCTGAGAGCGAGTGGCGAGTAGGCAGAGGAGTGGCCTGAGGCGAGGAGTACGTGAAGCCGAAGCGCTGAAGGACCTGCTGCACCATGTGTGACTGAGTCAAGGTAATGGTGCGGCGTGCTCTGTCCCGGGTGATCTGCAAGCCAAGGTAGCTACGCAGTTCACCCAGGTCAGTGCACGTGTGTCTCTTCTGCAGCTCGGACTTCACGTAGGCGAGTCCAGCAGTGTCAGCTGTGGCAAAGACCAAGTCGTCGACGTACACGAGGATGTAGAACGGTGGCAGAGAGGTGTCGGTGCGCAGAAACAGCGACGGGTCGGCAGTAGAAGGAGCAAACCCAAGTGCCGCGAGCGTAGTCCTCAGTGTGTCGTGCCACTCACGTGGTGCCTGGCGGAGACCGTAGACTGGACGCCGGAGACTCCACTGGGTACCAGGAGGGAAAGACCCAGTGAAGCCAGGTGGGCGACGCAGCCAGATCTCCTCGTGCAGGCTGCCCTGCAAGAAAGCTGTGCTGAAGTCGAGAGAGTGCAGCTCGTAGTCACGGTGAGCAGCAACGTGCAGCAGAACCCGAAGAGTGGTCATCTTCGGGGTGGGGGAGAAGGTCTGAAAGTAGTCAACCCCCTGCCGCTGACTGAAGCCACGAGCCACGTAACGCGCCTTGAAGACAGGCGGAGAACCCGGCGGCCGCTTCACCCTGAAAATCCACATGCCACTGACGATGTTCGCCCCAGGAGGGGGAACAGCGTCAACGTAGGTGCCTGTGGACTTCCAGGAAGCCATCTCTGCATCCATAGCTGCCTGCCACTGAGAGGAGTAGGGACCCTCTACCGCCTCCGCGTAAGAGCGCGGAGTCGGGATGTCTGGTGCATCCGGGTCTCCCTCAGGGGCTAGCAGTACAGACGCGAGACGAGGTGAAGCAGCGGCTAGACACTGGAACTCCTCCTGCCTGTCCTCAAGGACGTCCGTGCCAAGAGCACACTCACCCCCGACGGACGGAGGACAGGCGGACTCAGACTCAGTGACAAGACGAGCAGCGTAGTCTAGACGACAGCGCGCAGCAAAGTCGACAAGCTCAGTGACAAGGGCAGACGCAGCAGACGACTCGAAGGAAGGGTCAGTGACAGCAGTAGCAAGGAGACGCGTGACAGTAGGAGTGGCAGCACGAAGAGAGTCCGACTCCGGGTCGGCAAGAGCAGGAAGAGAGGAAGCAGGAGGAGAAGGTAAAGGGGCACGCAGAGGAGCAGTGGACGGACGCAGTGACATCCGGTGCGTGCCAGGGACAGGAGGAGGACGCTGACGCGACCCGCGACCACTAGCGCGCTCAGTACGAACAGGCGACGCAGGACGAGACGCAGGCTCACGACGCTCAGTAAGACCTCCAGTCGGACCAGCGTAGGGAGAAGGAGCAGGCAAAGGGGAGGCAGGCTGTAGCTGTGGCTGTGACCGGACAGGCTGCGGACCCTCTAAGGGAGGAGGAGGAGGTGCAAGACCAAGAACCTGCTGTAGGAGCGGAACGAAGTACGGTCGGGGCCGCGCAGTGACGCCAGAAACAGCAGGAACAGCACCAGCAGGCCCGTCAGGAGCACCCACTCCAGCAGCACCTCCAGCAGAACCACCAGACGCTCCAGAACCTCCAGCAGCAGCACCAGGACTACTGTCAGTCGGACCTCCAACTGCAGGCTCAGCGTCAACACCCTCAGCAGTACCAGCTCCAGGAGAGCTCTCAGACCCAGCAGCTCCAGCACCCACAGGACGAGCACCGCCAGGACGCGTGGCAGCAGTACCCTCTGCAGCCAAAGAACCACCAGCTCCAGCAGCACGCCTCCAGCGCCGGGCAAACCACTCACGCAGCTCCTGTGGGGAGAGTGGCTCCCGGCGAGACGAAGCACCCCCAGGCACAGCACCCCCAGGCTCAGCACCCCCAGGAACAGCACCCCCAGGCTCAGCACCCCCAGGCTCAGCACCCCCAGGTACAGCACCCCCAGGCTCAGCACCCCCAGGAACAGCACCCCCAGGCTCAGCACCCCCAGGCACAGCACCCCCAGACTCCGCACCCCCAGGCTCCGCACCCCCAGGCTCAGCACCCCCAGGCACAGCACCCCCAGACTCCGCACCCCCAGGCTCCGCACCCCCAGGCTCAGCTCCCGCAGCAGCACCAGAGTCACCAGTGACCTCGACAGGCTCAACCGCGTCTACCTGGGACACACCTGAAGGGGCAGGACCCTGAGGGGGGAGGGGGACTACCGGGGGGGGACCTGGTACCAAGAAGAGCGGGGGTGGGGGGAGGGACGGAGTGCGGTAGGGGAAGAGGCGGTAGTAGGGTACCGACTCGTCGAACGTGACGTCCTGGGAGGACAGAACACGTCGAGAGGTGGGGTGGTAAAACTGCCACCCAGGGGCGTCGGGGGGGAACCCCAGGAAGACGCAGGGAGAAGCGCGAGGGGACAGCTTGTCCGCAGACAGGTCGCGAACAAACGCCCGAGATCCCCAGACCTGGAACGCCGACGCATCGCCAACCTTCCCTGTCCACAGCAGAGCTGGGGAGGTCTCCGGTCTAGAGACCCTGGGGT